ACCCTTGTCAGGACACACTCCCTGGTTGTGTAACCACCCTTCTTCAGCGCCGTTAGTTCACCCTGAAAAGCCATCGTCTTCTTCACTTAGCACCCCTCTCTCGGGTTTAAACAGTGTCAGGCTTGGCTCTTGCCACCAAGCCATGGCAGCAGAAGCAGCTCAGCCATCTGCCATAATGGGGGAGGAAGAATTTTGGCTCAATCCATTAATATGTTCCGGGTAAAGGAGAAGGGTCCCATTTATCATACTCTGGTGGCCAACCTTCAAATACAGTAATTTACATGGTACAAAGTACTTAATACTGAAGTGAGGCTGAATTTTAATGAGGCTTTGATGATTCAGAAGGTACTGCAATGCTTCTGAGTCATCATTATGAATATCAGCGATCACTCAATTGTAGGTTTTAGAAAGGCCACTGATGGATGGGCCAGACTTGCTTCTGTGCTGTCGTTTGTTTCCTTGTATTGGGCAGGTGCAGCAAATCTCCAAGTTTGCCTGGAAAAGCTCTGGCTGGTTGCTTTGGGTCTAGTCCTCTAATATTATTTCACCCATTTGACAAATATTTAAGTTCCTATTATGTGCCTGGCAGAATTGCTGAATTTTTGGTTCTGGCATTAACTATTGCATATCCTCTTCCTCCTTGAGTACCTTACCAAACAGAATAGGCACCACGCCTCCATGTCCCTAACCTTCAGGTAAAGGTTGGTTCTTTTGTCTGTTCTTCCCAACTGATGGTCAGTTTTAATGAAGAAGTTTCACGGGGTCTTTCTCTGGACTCATCTATCTTGTGAGTTAACAATGCACAGAGTGTAAAGCATGATTGGGTTTCTAAGTTATTTTCAGTTTATTGACAGTTTTTCTAACTACAAAAGAGAATTGTACCCAAACTCATCTCTTTGCCAAGTTGAGAGACTAAAAATCGTACATAGATCATACATGCATGCCCTTCCATTGGTAACTCACCAATTGGTTTTTATTTTGAGGGGAGGAGTGATAGATCCACTGACTGATATTTAATCCCTAACTTTACTCAAGATTTAATTAATCTGAAGGTCCAACGGAGAGACATGGGATCCTGCAGACCAGAAACCAGTCTTAGCTCTGTTGATGACGAAGCTGTCACTTGAATTTGCTGTCCTTCAGCCTTCCTGATGGTTTTTAAATGGACATTAGTACTTGCCCGTAGCAACGTAGGGAGGAATTTGACAATGACTGGAAGTCAGGCTTTATATGAGAAATACAACATACATCTTGGAGCTAATTGCTACCCTTTATGAAAAGAGCTGCATTATTTAAAAAATAATCAAGCACTTTGGCACTAAAATGTTTTTCCCTGGAATCCTTCAGATTTTCTTGATGAGCTCATCTAAGCAGAATTTTTTTTAAAATCCCAATAACCTACTGCATCAGATTAAAATATTTTTAATTAATGATATTTACCACTATCCACCAACACAACTGGATTTTACATATTTTTTTATTGAAAACATGCACTAAATAAATACCTCTTGTTTTCTAAAATAGGGTAAACAATGTCACATAATTAAAGGTAGGTAAGTATGGAAATTCTTTCAAATAATCTGTAATGAAATGTCACTTTTCTCTGGGTAAAAGAACAAATAGGATTGTGAAAGCTCAAAGTTCTTTTCTCAGCTGCTACAAGCTTCATACTGAGCAGGTTGCCATATGTATTTACATTATGGAAGGAAGAGACTGTCTGTGGTAAACAGCATTTATGAGTTTCATTTTTGTTTCTTCCATTTAATAGAATACATAATCTCAAAGTTGTCAAAATCATTTTATCCAAGATCTCTTCCTACGCAAGAATTACAGAGACTGCTTATTTTGTGAGTCTCCAAAAGGCTATACCAATACTTAAAAGCAAAGGACAAAGCAAAATATGTCTTTGAAAATTATATTTGAAGAATGGAGAATGTAAATGGAATTAGATATTCCAAGTTTTAAGAAATCGGACTGAGGCCGGGCGCAGTGGCTCATGTCTGTAATCCTAGCACTCTGGGAGGCCAAGGCTGGAGGATTGCTTGAGCTCAGGAGTTCAAGACCAGCCTGAGCAAGAGCAAGACCCCGTCTCTACTAAAAACAGAAAGGAATTAGCTGGACAACTAGAAATATGTAGAAAAACTTGGCCTGGTATGGTGGCACTGCCTGTAGTCCCAGCTACTCGGGAGGCTGAGCCCAGGAGTTTGAGGTTGCTGTGAGCTAGGCTGACACCATGGCACTGTAGCTTGGGCAACAGAGTGAGACTCTGTCTCAAAAAAAAAAAAAAAAAAGAAAGAAATGGGACTGGCTGAGTTTAGGGGTTAATTCATGTATATCCCAAGTTCCCCCATCTCTGGTCCCCTAATCCCATTTCCCAGAGGTAACTACTTAAGAATTTCTTGTGTGTCCTAGACGTTTAAGAGATGGGGTCTCGCTATGTTGCCCAGGCTGGCCTCAAACTCCTGAGCTCAAGCAATCCTCCCACCTTGGCCTCCTGAGGAGCTAGGACTACACACTACCCTTGCATGCCACAATGCCCAGCTCTTCTAGACATTTTTCATGCATATACCAGCATACATTTCCTTAAGCACACACAGAATCAGAATATACTTTGTTCTATAATGAATAGCTAATTTATAGTAAGTAAGCCATGAAATGAGGCGGTTTTCCTGCAGGGCTGCCAGTGTGCTGTCTTCATGGGGCAGTAAAGAGAACACCAGCCAGAGCTACTTTCAAGGAGAAATACTGAAGGTGGGTGTAGAAGGTGCTAGGGCTTTGATGCCCTGGTCACCTTCTGAGAAAGAAGAAACCATCATCATGGCTTCCTCTCTGCTTGTTTAACAAGCCTTCACGGAATGAACAAGCCCATGATGAGAGCCTAAACCAGGGAAGGGGTAGAGATGGACTTTAGAGATATGTAGTGGATAAAATCACCAGGGCTTGAGGACCAACTGGATGTGAAGTTTGAGAAAAAGGAAGGTGTTATAGTCTGTGTGTCCTTCCCCCATCCCAATTCCTATGTTGAAATCTAATCCCCAATATGATGGCATGTGGAGGTGGCGACTTTGGGAGGTAATTAGGTCATGGAGGTGGAACCCCCATGCATGGGATTAGCACCCTCACAAGAATGAGGCCAGAGCTAGCCTGCTTTCCTCCCGCCACGTGAAAACACGAGAAGTCAGCCATCTGCAACCCGGACGACGCCCTCACTAGAACCCAACCTTGCCGGTACCCTGATTTTGGACTCCCAGGCTCCAGTACTGTAACAACTCCCATTCAATCTTCAACGTACTGAAGTCTGCCAAGGGCCCCGATTCCCTGAAGCTGCTCTTACAAGGCTCACTGTGAGAAGGGCCCTCCGCAACCCCATTCCCACACCTCTGTGCAGCTCTGGGTTCTGCTGACATGCCTTGAAATCTCCTGCTCTTCTGGGCCTTGCACTTCCTGCTCCCAGCTTCCTTCAACCCACGCCCGCTCCTCTGCTGGGCCCTACCCTGCCCTACTCGCTATCAGGTATTGAGTTCCATCTCCATTCTCTCCTCTTCACACGGTCCACAGGCGATCCCATCCACACCTTCGGCCTGACTTCCATCCCCACGCTGAAGTGTCCCAATTCCAAATCCAGACATTCTTTTTAAATTCCAAAGTCAAGTATCCAATTGCCCATATTCAGTCCAGCCACATCGAGTCTGTCTTAGCAAATGGTTCCACCATCCACTCACTCCCTGAAGCCTGGGATCGGGGAGCTGCCGCAGGTGCACGGATGCACCATCCTCCCATCCCCTGCCTTTCTGTCTGCTCTGCCTAAAGCGTTCTTCCTTTCTTTAAAAAATATATTTGACAAGGCCGGGCGCGGTGGCTCACGCCTGTAATCCTAGCTCTCTGGGAGGCCGAGGCGGGTGGATTGCTGGAGGTCAGGAGTTCAAAACCAGCCTGAGCAAGAGCGAGACCCCGTCTCTACTATAAATAGAAAGAAATTAATTGGCCAACTAATATATATAGAAAAAATTAGCCGGGCATGGTGGCAAATGCCTGTAGTCCCAACTACTTGGGAGGCTGAGGCAGGAGGATTGCTTGAGCCAGGAGTTTGAGGTTGCTGTGAGCTAGGCTGACGCCATGGCACTCACTCTAGCCTGGGCAACAAAGTGAGACTCTGTCTCAAAAAAAAAAAAAAAAAAATATATATATATATATATTTGACATATACAAGCCTTACATACAAAATCATCATGCCAGATTTGGGGTTATCATTCTACTCTGCTTTTATTTTTAACAATATATTCAATACAGGTATTAAGTACAACACATTTAATACATATAAAACTATGTCACATATTAGTTATACAGCATAATATAGTATATAGTAAACACTCCTAAGCCTACACCTAAGAACTAGAACATTCCTCATCACTTGCATCTACCCATGTGTTGCTCTCCCATCCCCTGTGTTTCTTCCTTTCATGGGTAACAACCATGCGAAATTTTGGTTTCTCATTCTGTCACTTCTTTTTCTTTCACAATATACTTTTTTTTTTATTTTTTATTTTTTATTTTTTTATTTTTTATTTTTTTATTTTTTGAGACAGAGTCTCACTTTGTTGCCCAGGCTAGAGTGAGTGCCGTGGCGTCAGCCTAGCTCACAGCAACCTCAAACTCCTGGGCTCAGCGATCCTTCTGTCTCAGCCTCCCAAGTAGCTGGGACTACAGGCATGCGCCACCATGCCCGGCTAATTTTTTCTATATATATTAGTTGGCCAATTAGTTTCTTTCTATTTATAGTAGAGACGGGGTCTCGCTCTTGCTCAGGCTGGTTTTGAACTCCTGACCTTGAGCAATCCGCCCGCCTCGGCCTCCCAGAGAGCTAGGATTACAGGCGTGAGCCACCGCGCCCGGCCCACAATATACTTTTATTGCATATGTATGCTTAGACAATATACTCTTTGGTTTTGCTTTTGAGCTCAATAAAAATAGTATACCATATGCAGTCTCCTGCAACTTGCTTTTTTTTTTTTCCTTAATATTTTCTGAGATTCATTTTTATTGTCAAGTATAGCTGCAGTTCAGTCATTTTCACTATTGAATCATATCCCTTAGGGTAAACATAGGTAATTTATTCATCTCTTCTCCTGCAGACATTTCACTTTTTCAAGTTATTAATTATGAATATGTTACTATGAATCCTCTTGCACATACCTCCTTGGTGAACACATGCAAGAATTTGTTGGACATACAAGTGAGAGTCCATAGCTGGATCATAAGGTCTGCAAATGTTCATGTTTTTAAGACACAATTGTTTTCTAACGCAGTTGTGCCTGTTTACACACCCACAACAACATATGAGTTCACACAGATCTTGTTTAACACCTGGTACTGTCAGACCCAACTTCTGTAAATCTTTTGAGTGTGAAATGGAATCTCATTATGGTCTTAATTCATATTTCCCTAGCCATCAATGCTGTAGAACATCTTTTTATTTGATGCTTCTCTTCCATGAAATGCCTTTTCAAATCTTCTCTATTTTCCTACTTTTTTAAAAAATAGGAATTCTCTATATATTATGATTACTAATCCTTTCTCAGTTTATTTGTATTATAAATGGCTTCTCAAGTTGTGGCTTGTCCTTTCATTTAAAGTGCTTGTTTGCTTAACCTAAGCCCATAGGTTTCATCAAGTTGATTTAATCATTTTTTCTTTTGCAGTTGGTACTTTGTGTCTCAAGAGACTGAATCTATGGGTCAATTTAGGGAGATCTGATACCTTTGTAACATTTAATATTCCTATTCGCGAACAAAGATGTTCTTCATCTGTTCCTCCCTTGTGTCTTCGTCTTCATCCTTCAAATCCCCAATCAGGCTTCAACCGTGCCTTCTCCTGGGAATGTCCACCACCACCACCACAACTAAAGCAGGACACACAGACCCTCTATGTGCACATTTTTTAGATAACTGCAATCATCCAAGAAAAAAGATGACAAGGGGTAAGTTTGAGGCTTGTTACTTGGGTGGTGGCACCATTCTTCATTATTGAATATATCAAGAATTTAAAGAGAATAAAATAAGAAATAAGTGGCATTAGGCTGTCCACCTGTCCAACTCTGCATAGGATATCACAGCTGAGCCAAGAACCTGCTTAGTCCTGACAACAACTGAAAGATATTAATCACCCTTATCTTTTTTTCCCCCTTAGGGCAAGGGAACATGAAATTACAAGAGGACAAAAGTGCTTGGAGAGCATGACTATACTTGACCATGCTGGGGCAAACAGCTTGAGTATTTCTGACAAGCAAGCAGTGAGGGCATGCCTTTTGCCAAAGGGAATTCTGCAACCATTCAATGGAGCCTTTAGAAAATGAGGTCTTCTGAAGAGAGAGCAGAGCTATACTTTCTTCCCTGTCAGAGTCCACTGTTAGAACCATTTAGACTAAAATGCCCCATTTCTCACAGCATCATTTTGCCACAGGGTCACATTTCTCTATTCAACTGAGTTTCAGCTTTTTTCCTAAGAGGGAAAAAAAAAACCAGACTAAGTGGCCTTCTAGATTTAAGGTAAAAATGGAAAAAAGCAAGCTGACTCGCTTTGAAATGCAAAAGACCTCTATCTTCAGTTTGTCCCAATCCCAGAGGGACCAGGGATACCATCAGAGCCCTGCTCCTGGCATTCATTCAAGGTCCTTGAAAAACAACACTTGTTTTCCAGGTACTGGAGAAAGACCCTGCCCCTCTACAGGCTTCTACCAAACAGTCTTCCATAACGAGAAGCAGGGCAGCGTCAGCCAGTCGCACATGGAATTTTTGTTGTTATTTTTAAAGGCACTCTGGATTATACTTCCCTGAAGATCATCAAGTATAGAAAAGGCAAAAAAATAAAAATAATTTAAAAAAAGTTAGTCTGTATCATATCCCAAAATGGGTCCAAGCCATTTCTCAACCTCAGCCACAGACATGTTCTTCCTTGAAGCGTAATCCTCGATCTGTAAAAGATTAGAAGCATCTTATTAAGGCAAAGTGATAAGACTTTCTGAACTGAAATCTCCACAGGATTTGCCAAGAAACATTAAGTACCTTCTATTTCTTGTCTTAATAGCAATCTACTGAGTTAAATGGAGATAGATATTTTTGTCTACCAAGTTGCCCTAGTCTCTGGGCAGAAAAACAACATATAGTAAATATCTGATGCCCAGAAACTCAGAGAGAGAGAGAGAGAGAGTGTGTGTGGTTTGAGTGTAGGGTGAGAGTTAGAATGGGGGTAACGGGTTGAAATCAAATTAAGACGCTAACTGGGATAAATTCCCTCATCCTTTCCTCGTGATTTTATTCTCATTCACATTTAAAATAGGATAGATTCCAGAATTCCATTTAAAATGGGGCAGCTATCTAGGGAAGCCACATACAGTGAAACAGCTAACTTACCTGATCCTTGGAAATTTTCCCCACAGCAAAATATTTGGACTTCAAATTGGAGAAGTAGAGGCCTGAGACTGCTGACGCGGGTGCCATGGCCAGGGACTCTGTCAACCTGATGCCTGCAGAGAGAGCGCGGGGCGGGGGGTTCACTCAGCGCAAGGCACAGGGCCCGCAGCTGGCCGGCCCTCGCCCAACCCTTGTTGAATCCCTGAATGGAAGTGGACTCGTGCCTTCCAGGTAGACACATGACACTGCACGAAGGCTGTGACTAGGTAAGTCTAGCAAATCCCCATCACACGGAAAAGCAAACAGGATGTGCAGATCTCCTGTGATCCAGGGGGACAGGCCTGGAAAAGCCTCTCTACACTCTCACCCTCGGCCACCCAAGGTCGGTCACAGAGGCCCTGGTTTGCTCCTAAGCCTGGGCGTGCTCGGGCAGGAACTCTGACCCTGGAGGTAGGACACAGCTGGACAGCCTCAGGGCCCCATGGGGCCACTGAGACTAGGGATGACCGACAGCTGGCTCCGGGGAAGAATGAGTCCACGGCAGTTCTGAGAAAGAGGAGACGTTCTTTCTTGGGATTTAAAGAACCCAAAGGGACCATCAAGGCTATCTATTCTAAGCCGCTCATTTTATGCACAAGGAAACAGCAACAGAAAGGTTGAGTGCTTTGCTAAAGGTCACCCAGCTGGCTTATGGAAGAAACGTGGACTCGAATCCAGACCTCGTGGCTCCTGGAGTCGGTGTTACTGTGACTGATCCAGATTCAACACACCTCACAGTTCCTCATTTAAATCTAGATTCCTTTATCAGCTTTGACGGCATACTTTTGACTAATCCCGCTGAAAACTGTGATCTTAGCCTGAGCCACCTCACCACAGGACCAGAACCAGCATGTGGACGTGGCAATGCACAGCTACAGAGCCGTGACCGGTCCTGCTCTGGGCTCAGGGTGCTGGTGCCAGGTGCCTGGGCCGTCATCGCAAAAGGGGACATGCCAAATTCTCGTTTTCAACTGTCAGAATCCAGCCACAGACAAAATGCTAGAGAGAATTATGATTACGGAGGAGCGTAAATGTTAGTAAGTTACGGAAGAGCACATATGTTAACAGTGTGAAAGGAAAGAGAGAAAAGGCCGGAAAGGAAGGCTGGGTGCTCTGGTGTCCCGAGACGTTACGGACAAGCAGTGGGACAAGCGTTTGAGGTGGTTGCTGTTCCTGACGGGACCAAGGCCAGTCACTAAGGGATTAAAGACACGACCGCGCCTATAACAGGAAAGCGGGGCAGGAGAGGCACGGGATGGTGCGGAGTAAGCTAAATTCCCGTTTGTTACAGGTCCAGAGGAAATAATTTAAAATCGATAAATCTAAAAACGGTGATATAAGAATACTATTCAGGCCGGGCGCGGTGGCTCACACCTATAATCCTAATACTCTGGGAGGCCGAGGTGGGCGGATAGCTCAAGGTCAGGAGTTCAAGACCAGCCTGAGCAAGAGCGAGACCCTGTCTCTACTATAAATAGAAAGAAATTAATGGCCAACTAATATATTTAGAAAAATTAGACGGGCATGGTGGCGCATGCCTGTTGTCCAGCTACTTGGGAGGCTGAGGCAGGAGATCGCTTGAGCCAGGAGTTTGAGGTTGCTGTGGCGAGGCTGACACCACGGCACTCACTCTAGCCTGGGCAACAAGCAAGCTCTGTCTCAGAAAAAAAAAAGAATACTATTCAGTAATATCAAAGTAAAACTTCAGAACAGCTACAACTGTGAAAGGTGAGGTCAGGGATGATATCACTATAAGCCCTTCCACTAAAAACATTCTTTCAACCATGTGTCATTATGTTGATAATATTAAATAAGGAAAGACGGGAGCCCAGTGCCTCCTGGCGGTACCTGTGGCCTGCTCGATGTCAGCGAGTCTCCACATGGTGAGCTTCTCCGTGTGGTCGGGCTGGCTGGGGTAGCCGGGCGCCGGGCGGATGCCCTCGTACCGCAGCCGGCGCAGCTCGGCCGCGTCCAGCCGCTCGCTGCCGCGGTAGGCCCACAGCTCCCGGCGCACTCTCTCGTGCAGCTCCTCGGCGAAGGCCTGGAACCCAGAGCGCCCGCGTGCTTAGGCAGAGGGGCCGCAGCGTCAGTGCAGCCTCCACCCCCCGAATTGAAGCGTCCAGAGCAGCCTCCACCCATCGGGACCACAGCCAGGGGAAACGTGGCTAGAGGGGACAGGCCGGATTCTCGGACTGTTTGCACACGAGCTGCTTTGCTGCTCGAAGTTCGAAACCAGCCTGAGCAAGAGCGAGACCCCGTTTGGTCAGCCTGGGCTCTGAAGCATCACATTTAGTGATGTGAGGATTCTAGACCTTTTAACTTAAACATTTCCCTGAAGGTCAGGCCAGAACTAACGCCGGCCAGAAAGAGCAGCTGGGACCACACAGCTGCCAGTTCCTCCGCTGTTCACCGCAGGAGAAGGAACTCCCCAGGGGTGAGGCGCTCTCATTCCGTGCAGGGAAGGATAGAGAATCTATAGAAGATACCAACATTGGAATGAGGGGTTGTGAAACGAAAATATGTTTTTAATTTTTCAAGGTCTTTAGGAAAATGTCACATGATAAAAAGCAAAGGGAGACAGACAAGAGACCAGGCAAAGACGTTAGGGTTCTAAAGGCGACACCCAACCATGGCTCATTGAAGGGCTTTATTTGCCCAAAACCTGATACTGAGAGTAATATGGGGATTCATGATTTAAAAATACTTGCAATGCTAAAGTCACCAGCATGTGACTCAAAGAAAAACAGAAAAGACAGTGGTTCTAATGCTGACCAGTGTTCCGGCACCAGCCACGGGGTCCCCACAGCCTGCACTCTGTCCTCAGCCAGTGGCTCACCTCCGCCAGCCGGTCCCCCAGCGCCTTGACCATGATGCTGCTGTAGTCATCGCTGTCGTCCTCGTAGGCCTTGCTCAGTTCTTCCACCCCAAAGCAGGCGACGGCAAACAGCCCCAGGTAGTCACGGACGCCGGAATGCAGGGGCGCGACGAAATCCGAGAGGCAGTGGTAGGGCTCCGTGCTGGCGGAGTCCTTCTCCGCCTGAAAACCAAGCAGCGGGCAGAGGGGCCGTTAGCGTGGCCGCAGCCCCGGCACACCGTGGAAAGCAGTCTGGTATCTTCAGATGAATACAAGCGTCTGCCTGTTTTATCCGCTGCTACCTTCCCAGCACTTAGAATCGTGCCTGATAGATACACAGTGAGCATCCAATAAATATTGAGTAAACCAATGAAATGGGATTTTAGAAAATACATGGCATGACATAACACACGTGGTCAAGAAACCAGTTACTATGCTTGTTCACAGATGGACCAAACGTTTACTGGGTGGCTACAGGCGCTGTGCTAAGAACTGGAACCTTAAACAGCCATCTATTAAGTAAAAAGTTTTTCCCCAAGAGTATTTCCCATTAAGCCGAGCACTGTATTCAAAAGAGGGTCCCGTACGCACATAAGCCTCCACTGTGTGTCAAGAGGAGCAGTCCAGCAAACTGCTGGGGTAACTCGAGGGCCACATGCTGCTGCCACGGTGAACGGGACACGGCTAAGGACACCAGGGCTGGCCGGGGCCGAACCAAGAACTCAGCAGCTTTGCTCCTGGCTCTCTCCACAGCCCAGCTGCCTATCCTCGCCCATTTGTCACTCTCAGCTGATGACCGACTCGTCCCTGCTGCCCAGCTGACAAATAAGGTCTTAGACGTATTAAGCAATCAATAAATATTTGCTGAGAAGGGAAAGAGCCTACAACTAGTATTTACTGGGTGCTCACTCGGTGCCTGTTCTTAGTGCTCCATACGAATGAGCATTTTAACCCTCAACAAGCTTGTGGCATGAGTGATGTCGTCTGCACCAACATACATATGAGAAATCTGAGGCTGTGGCACCAGGAGCCAGATCAAGACAGCAGGCAGAGCAACTGGGCTGGTACCCAGCCGATGCCCCTGCATATGCAGTACTGCCTAGGACTGAGCCGTCAATCAACGAATGGCCAGCCCAGAAGCCTCAGAGCTGCTTGCCAGCCACGGAAGCAAGCACAGCCTAATGGACATGGGGCGGGAAATCGTCACATGCAAGGAGATGTTCCATAAGACACACAGAAATGCCACACAGCTCAGGGACAGCCGTGCGTGGGGAGCCGTCTTCCAGGTGCATTCTGCCCATCAACTGCTCTTTGCTAACAAAAGCCAGAGGGGGATACAGAGCTTCCCTGTCCCACAGGAGAGACAGGTCACAGGGCCCCCGTGGTATCTTACAAGCGATCAGAGCCTACTCGCAAAGGAAGGCTCCCAAGGTAATAAGGCACTGCTGCCAGAATTTTCCAGTGTGTACTGGAGGAAAGCACCTCCTTAGAAATATCTATCTGAGTAGGCAATAAATGTACATTGCCAAGTTCCCCTTTCCAAACATTATTAACCACTTCGGTATGGCGCTCACCGGCCACGAACCCTTGCCCACAGCCGGCACTCACAGTCCGCACGACAGTTTGTGCTGTGCATTGACGACGAGTCCGTTTTGCTCTTGTGTGATGAGGAAAGCTTTAAAGCACTGAAAGCTTGTTTTACTTTACAGGCAGCTTTACTTATAATGTAAATCAGAATAGGTAACATATACATATATGTTTTCATTACGTTATTTTTAAATGTTCACAATTTTATTTTGATAAATGAAAAATTAGAAAAGTCATATCACAGCTGTCAGCTAAAGTCGCTGTGCGTGTTCATCTGTGGCTGTCGACTATAGTGGACGCTTGTACCGAAGTGGTTAAAAAGGTGAACTCTGAGAATGCATTATATTAAAGGCTGTAATATAATATGTCACAGACTGCCTGGGCATAGATGGTAGTCGAAGTAAACAGCGACCAGAGAAGGACCCAGGACTTGAAAAATGAAACGCTGGGCCAGAACAGAGGTTTTTTTGACCATAGTTACATCTGTAAAAGAATAGTCCCCAATTCCCTAGTGAGGAGGGGCTAGAACTTAATATTAGAACCCCACTGCCTTGTATTCTCCGGTGTCCGAGCCTGAGTGCACGTGGCAAGGATTTACTGAGCCTGAGTGCACGTGGCAAGGATTTACTGAGCCTGAGTGCACGTGGCAAGGATTTACTGAGCCTGAGTGCCATGTGGCAAAGATTTACTGAGCCTGATGCATGTGCAAGGATTTACTGAGCCTGAGTGCACGTGGCAAGGATTTACTGAGCCTGAGTGCACGTGGCAAGGATTTACTGAGCCTGAGTGCACGTGGCAAGGATTTACTGAGCCTGAGTGCATATGGTAAGGATGTAGCTATCCTCGTTTAATCCTTTACGGTACTGTTTAAGGCCCCAAATTTAAGAATCCCTTTAGATGTTATGGTCAAAAGATCAATCATTATGAATTATATTGTAGTTGTGATTGAAAGCAATACTATCGTTTTTGAATGACTGAAAATGGTAGTAAAACTGAAAGAATAATTTACTGCAAATTATTAAATTTGTTAATGACTCTGGTGAATTCTGGTTCCAATCCCTGATTTTTATAGCAGCTGAAGTGACACGCATATGATATTTGCACTGTCAAAGGAGGGGGCATGACGGGGAGCCTGCTGAGAAGAGCCTGTTTTTGCCATGGGGAAGGTGGCATGGCCCGTGCAGTGACAGAGTGCGCAGGCTGGGCCCCACCTCCGCGCCGGGCAGCTTGGCGCCACCCCCACCAGCTTCCTGTTCTCCTCTGTAAAATGGACACACAACGGCCTGACTGCAGGGCTGTGCAGAAATGAAACAGGATGGCCTGTTGAGCAGCCTACTCCACACCTAGCACCTGACATGCATCCCGCGAATGCTTGTTTCCACCTGTCTTCTCCCACCAAACATTCTGCTTTAATAATATACATAGATGCTAACCAACGTTTCTGAACAAGTAAACATTCTCTTGCTTTGGACGCTAGAGAGCCCAAGAGACTGAGAACGTCGGCGTGTGACCGATAAGCCGTCCGTACCTGCTGCCTTAACCCATAAAAGGTGGCTATGGGCTGTGCAGCCGGGGGCGGGGCGCCCTCCGCATACAGGTGAATGTCGTCTTGGACGCTCTGCGCCGGCCAGAATCCAACCACGCCCCGGGCTTGGAGCTTCTTTTGGCTAATCAGTGTGTTCAGCATATTTTGGGCATCATCATAGACCTTTTTGGCCTCTTCACCTATTAGAAAAATATAATAAAAATTCATTTACAGGTGCCAAAAATAACCAGCAACAATGCTTCTTTTTAAAACCACCCTCCCTAATCAGTCAGCTCCGCCTTCCCCCCTTCTCTGCCGTCCTCAAATCCCTTCTCGGTGCTTGCCATTCTCCTAGCTGACGGCGGGGCCGCCGGGGCTTGGTGGCTCCTGCTAATTGCAGCTTCCACAGTCTGCTTCTCCGGCTCAAGCCACTTACATTTTTCCATTTAACAAAAGGCAGAGAGCCAAGCTGTGGCTCCCAAAGCAGTCTGCCAGACAGAGGGTGAGAAAAAGCAGGCCAGATTCCTTGTCCAGTGACGCTCCTCTGCACATACAACTCCACTGACGTCACAGTGACCCCTGGGGACGTGACAGGGTGAGGCGTGAACTTGGCCCCCAGGCCCCGAATCCTCATGAGCAGCTTCAGTGCTGCACCTTGTCCTGCAAAGTGGGAGCAGCTCACGGGATACCCTCTCTTGGTTTCCCTGTCGGTGACTCTGGGCCGCCCCGCCACGGTGAGCAGCCTGCCCAACAGCCCCTTGAGCGCTCTCCCACCATGGCTCAGGGGCAGGGCCATGAACAGCCCCTCGCCCACTGCTCCGTTCCTGGCTACCGCAGAGTGTCTGGTTCTCAGCACCCTGACACGCAGCCCCAGGACATGCTCTGGCAAACTTGTGAGGGCCCAGCTTCTCGGGCTCTTCTCAGCCCAACCCCGTGCTTCTGCGAGGCCACCCCTACATCTCGCTCTGACCTGGCCGTCACCAGACCCTTTGAATGGCTTCACCTTGTGATCCCAAGTCTCGGGGGTTAGGTCTTGGAGGAGAGGCTAAGGGAAAAGTGGGGGGAGCAATTTATTGGCTCATGCCCCACTTCTCTAGTTTATTGCCCCAAATCTTCCTCCCCTCCCCTCCCTAATGCTCCACCAGGCACAACCGAATCCTTGCAGTTCCCTAAATAGGCACACATGTCCGGGCCTTCTCACACTCTATTCTCCTGCCTGGAACGTCTTTTTCTTCAATGTCACCTCAGGTCCTCAGCGTGAGCCTCAGTAACTCCCACTTTATCTCCAGAAAGCAGTTCAAACACCACCTCCTCCAGGAAGCCTTCCCTGACCTCCCAGACTGAGCTCTGTCTCCTCCTCCTGTGTCCACAGGAGCCTGGCAAGTACCCATCACTGTGGCTGTGCCAGCTGGTCGGGTACTAGACAGCAGGGATTATATTGTCGTCTTTTGTTTATCGCTCATGCCAAGCATAGAGTCCAGGATGTAACTAATGTCAGTAAACATTTATTTTAAAAAATGCAATACCAAATTTAGTCAATATAAGAGGGATCGAACTAGCAGTTTAAAAACCATTAAAAAGTTGAACAAGTAAACAATGCTATATTCTGCACAATCCGAATCCACTGCTCATCACCTATCTTCATCTTCAAAGTCTCACAATATGACATCTTGAATATGAGAGGCAGGAAAAAAGGACTTACTGAACTAACCTACTGTTTTGTCGTTAAATATCTTGGGAAAGCCTCGATTCGGGTACTTTCCCCGGAGCTGCCAGACATCGAAGAAAGGCTTCCAGTCGATATAGCCCACCAGCTTCTGCAGGTCATAGTCTTCGAAGACCTGGGTTCCAATAAACGTGGGCTTCACTACGGGAAAGAGGCACAGTTGTCAACGCTGACGCCGGACCTGGGGCTGAGCCCCCTCACGCTGGCGCCCTGCCTGGTGGCGGCCTCCTGCCAGCTCCTCACTGCTCTGCCAACTCCCACGCCCTGCCTCCCTCCTGTCACCCGTGGGAGTTGTTTTACAAAGAGGGGAACTTTAAATTATCGCGGAGAAGGAGTAATTCTGCACTGAATCTTAAATAAAACTATTCTTCCCATGCTGACTGACTACACCAGCCTTGGAAACGCTTCCCTCACCCCTTCCATCCCCACCCCCGGCCCAGGAAGAAAAGAAAGACTTGGGTTAATCTTCCCTTCTACAAATAAAGACAATACCAACACAAAGAACACTGCAGAGAGACACGGAGAGTTAGCTACTTCTGGAAAGTTCTAAAATACGAAGCAATCATCTATACTGCCTACTGACACATATGCACCAAGTACAGGGACACGCACGGGGATGAAGTCACAAATTCAGGATGGTGGTTATTTCTGCAGGGGCGAAGGGACACACATGGGACTTCCACTACACATGTATCGTTTTGTTTTTTAAAAAAAACAGGTGGTAGATTATTTCTTAAGCTGGCAGTTGTTTAATATATTGTTCTTATGAGTCTAAAACATAATTTAAATAATGGTGAAAACTTCAGAGACAGATGGTGCTGCTGGGCTTTCTGGAACATGGAGAGCAGCAACAGCCGCCAACCCCTCATTGTTCCCCACTAGCCTATAGTGGAGCCGGTGCCCCAGACTCCGGCCTGCTGTGGCAGCTCCCACCCCCCCCTTCCCAATCTGTAACTGGGGATCAGAGAACCTCCTATTCTACCAATTGCAGGTGCTCTGGGAGAACAAAGAAGTCTCAAGAGTATTTTTCTCTCATTTGACGGTAAACATGGTAAGATGAGAGTATAGGAAAAGTATGAGCAGCTTCTTAATTCTGCCTAGAAACCTCTGCCTTTCCATACTTGTTCATAGTAACTCGTTCCCATTTGCTCCTTGCCATCTTGTGACTACGTAGGACAATCCTTTCTTTGTAAATATCCTGCTATGTTGATTTCTTTGGTTAAAAAAAAAGTCTGTATAGACCTCTTAGCAGAGAAACTAAAAAGGAACTGGATATGCTTCTGATTAAAGTATCCTGTCGCCTGGGAAGGCAGGGACAACATGCTGCTGCACAGCCACTCAGGGACACTCTCCTGACCAGCTTGTCTCCCATAGTTTAAGAGATGATGGAGGTTTTATCAAACACCCTCCTTTCTCCCTGTGTCAATTTCCCACAGCCACCTAAGGCAGGCTGTCCCCAAACACATTTCAGAGGGCTGTACCACAGGGCCCCTCAGGTCACAGGCCAGAGCCATGCAGTGGCCCTGAGCTGGGGATTAAAGTGGCCACTCAAAAAGTGTCCCCACTGCTGCCAGGTACTGTGGTCTCCCGAGGACTATGTCCAGCAAAATATGTTTTGGATGTTTGACCTGTCAAAACAAACTTGCCTTTATGTTATTCTAATTTCACAGTGAAAGATAAAGTAAATAGCTTGCACTAGATACTGATTTATATTTTTTAAAGGCTTTCATATAATATCTTATTTTACCCAGACAACATCTGCATTAGTAACTGTCAAATGTGCAAGTTGGCAGCTCAAGGTCACTTGGTGAGTCAGAGCCAGGAGCCACGTGGGGACAAGAACCCCAGCCTCCCGGCTCCCAACGGGACATTCTATCTACCAAACTGCACCGGACTCATCAGGAATGAAACTAGAACCAAGCACACCTACATTTCCAATTTAATCCTCCCAACTCTGCCGAGCATGTGTAGAACACAGATGTCATGAGCCATGAAAGCTGATTTGAGATATTACCTTGGAAATACGGATTCAATTAACATAACCCCTGTTCTGTCTTGGTTTTTGCCTTTGTGTCTCATGCCTCTCTGAGCCTGTCAAAACATCTTACACGTTTTATTCCCTCATGAATGCCTACGTGAGGCAAGAAAGGTGGCTAGAAACTTTAAGAGGGAAGGAATCAAATAAAAGAAATTAAAAAGAGAAGGAAGCGTCCAGAAGGAGAACAGGAGACAGAACAAAATACAGGGGTCAGGCTTTGCGGCAGTGTGAGACGTGTGAGAGGTGGAGGCATCTCCCATTTCAGAGAGTCCACGGCTGCCCTCAGGCCTGCCCGAGACCCAGCCCACCTCAGGCGCCAGCGCCAGCCAGGCAGGTCTCCACACAGCCCACTTTCGGCTGAAGGAGGCTGCTCAAGCACAGCACAGCGGGAAGAGCGTGGGTTTGGAAGACAGATCAGAGAATCCCAGAAACCTTCCAAGCTATCACCCGAAACGTTCTTCAGTTACAATGGGCACGATCCCCACGTCCGTCACGGGGCTGCCTGAAGGACTCGGCGAGCTGCCGCGGGTCCACCTCGGGACACTGCCTGGCACGCGACAGGCTCCGTAAACGGCACCTATTGCCTTTCCTTACTCATCTGAGTCTCTCATGGTCACTAGACACGACTGAGAGTTACTGGCTGCTGGTCTGACTCTGTAGCCAAAGAAGTGGCAACATATCTCCTCAGCACACGTCAGTCGTCACATTTGGTCTTCCTCTCGCTGACAGCGGAACGCACCTGGCTGAGGCTCAGACAGCCAATCGATATGGAAACCATTTTTTCTGGCTTGACTTAAGGGTAAGTATCTCCTCTCCTGTTAAAAAACACAGCAAAGTTATTTAGTCAAAGAGTCTTACTTTTCCACTGCTGCTATGAAAACATGCCCAAGAAAGCCAGTACGAAAGCTTTGCAAGTGCTTTTAGTAATGAAAATCCTTATCCTAAAAAGCTCTTCCTTTTCTATCCAGTTTTCATATTAGCACCAAAATAATAGATAGTAAAGATTCACAGGCATTATGAGTTAGCTATTGATATGCAAACATAAGGCTGATTCTGCAGCCTGAACCTGAGGTGCTGCCTGTACTCTCCTACTCTCCTGCCCGTACTCGAACCCCTGAGGCGGGGTGTTAAATGCATGCAGTCGACCACCCTGAGCAGCAGAAGTTGGAATTAACTGTTTATCACTTGCCGAGCAGCTTCCCAAATTCCGCCCCCACCCCACCGCCACTCTGCCACAAGCCCAGAAGGCAGATAACCAGAAAGAAATATCCTAATGACTACTAAAGAGTAATTATGCCTGTTCTCCATGGACTCCCTGAAGCTTATCCAGAGAGGGCCATTTCCTGAGACATTATTCTGCAGTCAGTGCTGGGCAATCAGGGACAGAGGCGAACTCGGCCCCCGACTCGTGTCTCTGCTTTCTCCTATTATTTCATCCAAAGCAGGATCCGTGGGAGTCACCTCAGAACTGTTTCGGCTCCTGCTTCCCTGCCGGGTGGGAGCCCCTGTCTTACTCATTCCCACAATGCTGGGGACCTAGCACAGCACCCAACACCTCCTGGGTAGCCAGGAAATGCTTGCTAAATAAATAAAATTCATTTCAATGCAAACAAAAATTATTTGGGAACTTAGACAATGAAGAACTCTGATTTGAGCTAGGAGACAACTTCTCTAAAAGGACACTACGCCTTTACTTTCCTCAAAACAGTTAAAAAAAAAAAGTCACATTAAAAACTGTGGGATCATTTTATTGCCCAAACAAGTAAAGATTTGTTTGTCACTTACCTTGAGGGACTCATAATGGTCCTGTCTAATATCTTCATATTCTTCCATGATTTCCTCAAAGTATTCATCCTTTAGGTTTTCATCTAACAGCTGAGAACACTGAAAATGCAAAATCAAGTTCAAGAACCATAGAGCAGCAAAAGAAGATACACGGGTGCAATAATGGTCAGCTCTGGTGACACTTCCTTCAGGAAGCCTTCCCTAACTTCATTTTCTCTCCCATTACCAGCTGTGCTAATTCTTGTGGGCTTGGGATGTTCAAACCCCGCACAAGCAAGCCAAAGAAAGGACGGGCCTTGACTGGTTCTTGAGAAATAAGCCCTAAACCATTGGGCTAATCTGCTAGACAAGAGTATCACTGTATACCTGGGTCCCTGGGCCGTGCCGGAAGGTTAATGCTAACAATCTGATTTAAGGTGAGGGGCCTTGGCTCTTGCTTTGTCTGTTTGACCTCTGGAGAGGTGGAAGACTGAGCAAATAAGGCCAGACACATGGGCATTCCAGGCCCATGTGACCAACCCCCAGTAAAAACCCAGGTCACCAAGGCTCAGGTGAGCTTCTTGGCTGGGAGTGCTCCTACTGTGTGGTCAGGTCACACAGCATCAGTGGAAGAATTAAGCGCTGTCCATATTATTCAATGGGGAGATGACACTTGGAAGCTTGTGCCTGGTCTCTCCTGGATTCTATCCTATATGTCTTTTGTGTTTGCTGATTTTAACCTGTATCTTTTCAGAATAATAAACTATGACTGTTTCTGAGTTCTGTGTGTCCTTCTAGTGAATCACTGAACCTGAGGTGGTCTCAGGGATCCCGACAACTCAGTTAGGTCCTCCCTTCAGTGTTTCAGTGATACTCTGTTCTATCACTGCACATACCACAGGCTTTTAGTGTCAGTCTATGTGCCTACTTCTTTTACTAGAAAGCCCTTTGAGAGTTGGACTCACACGTTAACCGCCTTCGTGCCCCTGGTACCTAGCTCAGTGCCTGGTGTGTACAAGGTACATCCTCACTAAGTGTTTGCTGCAGGAATGAGGCTGATCTTCAGTCTACTGTGAGCTTCTGCTAAAATATTAAAGGAAACCAATAATCTGAGAAAATGTGAGGCTACTCATTAAACTGTAAAACTAGGATCAGCTAAATATTATCTGTGACTATGATTATCGAGTTGGTAAAATAGCTACCACCAAAGCTCAAAATAAAAGCACAGAGAAAGAAGAAATGGCTGCCAACAATCACAGCAGTGCCTTGTCCCTGCCTTCTCTGGCAGGATTTTTCTAAGATACAAAAACTTTAATTAATCTTCATCTGAAATTGAGGAAGTTAGATTGGATGATGGCTAAAGTGCCTACTAGCTTTAAAAATCTATAATCTGGGCTGGGTGCGGTGGCTCACGCCTGTAATCCCAGCTCTTCGCGGGGACAAGGCCAGGAGGTCGAGACCAGCCTGGGCAACACAGTGAAACCCCTTCCCCACAAAAAAAATAAATGAATAAAATTAGCCAGGCGTCGTGGCACATGCCTGTAGTCCTACTGCACGAGAGGCAGAGGCAGGAGGAGTGCTTGAGCCTGGGCATTCAAGGCTACCGGGAGCTACGGCAGTACCACTGCATTCCAGCCTGGGTGTCTGGAGTGCAAGAGTCTGTCTCTCTTAAAAAAGAAAAATAAAAAAAAGTCTATAGTCCTATGCGAGTTTTCCAAGTACCCCTAATAACAATCCAATCGCCTATGAGTTAGTATTAAAAGCAAAATCACTTCATTAAGGCATATAATCAGAGAAGGCCACTGTGGCAGGCCTAAAAATAGGCTCCCAGATGGCATTTACAGCCCGAAGTATTTCCCAGCCTTGCATTAAACTCACCTCAATACAGTCCTCATTTAGGAAACCGAGCACAACTCAATGGAAACAAGGTTTATGCCTACTCTTGAACTCCCCAAAATATATGCAAACAATGTTTCAAAACACTGTTATATTCTGCTAGGTCATACACTCTGAGAAAGAAAAACCCAGACGTGTTTCCTATCCAAGGAATTCACAACACCCTGACCCTGGTACTATATTGGGTAGATAGAAGGAAGCACCACAGCTCACTGGTACCTTCCACACCCTCAAGGACCCCCTGCTCCCAAAGCCCCCTTCTTGCTCAGTCTTGATGGAAACAAGTTCACGGCCAACTAATCTACACAATCCTTCCACCAAAAAATCAATATCCATCATGTGTTTTCATGCCAACCACTGAAACATATTATGGTTTTTATTTTCCTTCATTTAAAAAAATTTTTTACAGCAATAGCCATCCCATGAGAGGGAATAAGTTGAAAAGACATTTTAAAATTTAAAAAGAATTAAATGTCAGGACCATGTCCTTTTCTTAAAGAAGGAGAGAGAGCAAGGTGAATCCTCAGGTCTAAATCTCCAATCATTACGTACAGTTCTTGCTACATCTTTCAGAATCTTTCAAACACATGAGACAGTTGCTAAATCGTGGTCCTGTTCCACGTTCATTGCAGTTAGATCAAAAGACTCCAAGCCAAGGAGCTAATAACCACCCGAAACAAATTATACCGCTGGCTCCTGAGAAGTGTCACTAGCAGTTACCTGAATGATCTGTCATCTGACTTGTGTTTGAGTAATTTCAAAAAGTGGCCATTTCTTTGTATAGGAGAAGAGCTAGCTCCTGCTGGCTGCCTGGCTAAACCAAACTGGAAGAGCACAGATGCCCACGCCTTGGCCCCTGCCTGGTCTTCAGCGAGGCCCCTGCTGCTCCAACTCTGCCAGATGGTGAAGGAGCCTGTTCTCCAAACATGGAATCAAGGGCCAATTCCTTCCCCTACCTATAGAGGAAATGCTAGCACTGTGCACCTACATGGGTATAACAGCCTTGTCTCCAAAATGGAAAATGTTCTGGGCCATTCATTAGCACTTGAAAATAGCAGCAAGTATTAAAAAAAGAGGCCCATTGGCCACTCAACCATGGACCTGACATATGCTCCTATGAAGCACATATGAATCCAAAAATATAGAAATGTGGCTTATTAAAAAACTGCAATTTTATGATCCCACCCCGATTTCATTTTATCCTTTTTAATAAAGGAGAATTGTTAAATACGAATGGGAGACACAAGTTTAATTTAGCATAGAGTAAGATCACTTGCATTCAAATCCCATGCCTGCCCCTTCATGGATGTGTGGCCTTGGGAGAGCGACTAGCTTCTCTGGTTCCCGTTTCCTGAACTCTAAAATGGGGATAATAAAAATATCTACCTTGTGAGGTTATCATGAGGATTAAATAAAATAATCCACTTAAAGCACAGCACCTGGCACACTGTAAGTTAGCGATTACTGATTAACTTTCATGTAAATAAACCCACATATCTGAAAGAATTCCTTTGGAAGCAGCTCTGGACATGTGGGCACGCCCTAGCCCAGGCGGTGCAATGTCACTGGAAGTCTCCCGGATCGCCCAGCCTCCGCAGTAACTTGCTTGCCTGCAAAATGCAAAGGCTGGACTAGAGCCGTGGTTTTCCAACTTGCTCTTTCAGTGACTGCTGAGCACGGGATGAGGCTGGCAGGGGGCTGCTTGGCTCTTCTCTGTACACACTGAGTCTCCAAGAGACGACATTTATAGATGAGGGTTTCCAGCTAAAACCAGCTGGGAAACCACTGGACCACAGGGTCCCCCAGACGCCTCCCAGTTAGAGCCTATTATTCAGGAAAAACAATGAAACCTATAATGAGACAGGATATTAGGCTTCTCTGAAGGAGACAAGCAGGGAAAGACACTTGGGCAAGTTATTTATTATAGTCATGGAGAAACAGAGTCTATTACTCTGGGTTTTAAATAGCCAGTGAATGTTCTGTCTTTGGGCAGTGTCAGTGGTGGTCAAGAGAGTGTCTATTCCTATTTGTTAAATGGGTGAAGTCTCCCCCTGGGTTGGCGTCTACGTCAAAGGTGTCCTGGCGTCATCCGCGTGTCTGCTCCTCACCTCTGCAGTGGTCTCTGACAGCACAGGACATGAAGCCAGGTGTGCTGGCTCATGCCTATAATCCTAGCTTTCTGGCAGGATCCCCTGAGGTCAGGAGTTCAAGATCAGCCTGAGCAAGAGTGAGAGACCCCCTTTCTACAAAAAATAGAAAAATTAGCCAGTGTGGTGGCACGCACCTATAGTCCCAGCTACTTAGGAGGCTGAGGAAGGGGGGTCGCTTGAGCCCAGGAGTTTGAGATTGCTGTGAGCTATGATGGTGCCACTGCGCTCTAGCCTGGGTGACAGAGTGAGACTCTGTCTCAAAAAAAAAAAAGAAAGTACAGGGCATGGTCACCTGGACCTCCTTCCAGAAAGGCAGACACTATAAGGACAAACCATACGCTGCTCTTTTACCTTTCTTTAATAGAAATGAATACAAATAAATAGATCATGAGTGACACCCTGAACAGTTAATGCTCTCCCTGTTCCCCCTTTACAACACATCTGAAATAAGACGTAAGTGGGGCCCACACTTACCACCACCACACTCTTGGATGCGTCCAGGACGTGGATTACAGGCGCACTGTATCTCGGAGCTATTTTAACAGCGGTGTGGGTTCTGCAAACAGGGGTCAGAGAGAAAATCAGATCCATCAGTGCCGCCAGTCCCTGCACAACTCTTGCTCAGAGCCATTAAGAGATAATGTGTTTCCACAGTGCTTTCCAGAGAAAGATTTCAAGGTACTCACTTACAAATATTGAACTTCAAATTTCCCTTGTAAAACATCAATGACATTTTCCACCATCCTAAGATGGGGAAAATCTTAGGCTGCCCAGGCTGTACAGAAGTCTGTGACAAAATGAGAAAGACCTTGTCCCCAGCTCTGCCAAGAAGGGACTGAGACCACAGCCTCGTGCACGTTAGCAGCCTGTCTGACCTAAGGGATGGAACCCAGTCCCAGTAAATTGCACTCCGCTGCCATTACGGTCAAGTTGAGTTTCTTCCTCCAAACGAGCTGGGATACCAGCCAGGGCCCTTGAGGAACCAGGCAGAGGACACAGGACACAGCTGTCTCGCTGCTGCTCCCCTGTTCATGGGAGACACCAACATTCCTCGGCCCCAATCCCACACTGTACTCACAGTAAGGAACCCTAAACCCGAAATTCAACACAAAATAACACAGGCAAAAGCAAGAAAAATGTTTTATGCTAAGATTGGCTCAGCTCCAAATCTCAACCTCTACTGCCAAACTTGAAAATGTTGGTACTAGGAAGAAGAAGTACCCTTTAATCCTTAAAATTACCCAATTAACTAAAGTGTAAAACAAATTGCCTTTTGATTACTGGATGTTTACAGCAATGGGGAAGGCTACATTATCTACCATTTATGATAGAACATAACAAATTAAAGTGAGGACTGAAAACATGCGTGGTCTCCCTTGCAGCAGCAAACCAGGGCCCTGGAGACGGGGAGCAGTGTGGACTGGCCCCGATCCCACTTAGAGGGGGCCAGGTGACAGACCCCACAAAATGGGCAGTGCTTTTTCCTTTTCCCCTAAAGTAGCAGCACTCTTCTCCAAGTCAAGTGCTTTCATATTCTTTCCCCTCAACTAAAATGTATTTTTGTTTGGAATGTTATCCAGAACATGCTATTACATGAGAAAGAAAGTAGCAGAACGTTATTTTTAATGTAATTTCATTTTTTTTTTTTTTTTTTTTGGAGACAGAGTCTCGTTTTGTTGCCCAGGCTAAGAGTGAATGCCATGGCATCAGCCTAGCTCACAGCAACCTCAAAATCCTGGGCTCAAGCCATCCTACTGCCTCAGTCTCCCAAGTAGCTGGGACTACAGGCATGCACCACCATGCTTGGCTAATTTTTTCTATATATATTAGTTGGCCAATTAATTTCTTTCTATTTATAGTAGAGATGGGGTCTCACTCATGCTCAAGCTGGTATCGAACTCCTGACCTTGAGCAATCCGCCCGTCTCGGCCTCCCGGAGTGCTAAGATTACAGGCATGAGCCACTGCTCCTGGCCGCAATCTCATTTTTAAGAAAACAAACACCACCATTCTCAACCTGCCCCAACCAACCAAACTCATATCTAAGTTTCTAGATATTTAAAAAAACACGGAGGGCTATACATCAAAGTGTCCACACTGGTTATATGGGGATTAGAAGTGAATTGAAGGTGGGAAGGGAGAGACTCGATTTTACTGTACATTCCTCTGAGACGTCTGACAAGTTCTAGTAAGTGTGGATTCCAGAGCTAACTTTTAGAAACGAGGAGGCTATTAAAGGTGTAATATATGCATGTGTTTTTAATAGAGTTTTCCCTTCTCGGGAAAAGCTCTAAAAACTCACTCATAATGAGATGGACAAGACCAATAACACTTCACCTGTCCCACCTTTCTAGAAGTATCTCCATTTGTAAACAGGAAGCCCAGGACTAACGCCTTAAGCCACGAGAACTGTGACACAGACACTCGGGCATGAGCTGGCCAGAGCCAGAGACACCTTCTGCGCTGGGAGGCCACGGGACAGGGCAGCAGGGGGAGCAAGGCCTGGCCCTGGGGCAGTCAAATGAACTCCACGGCCTCCTGAGGACTTGTTTTGTGCCCAGGGTTCACTCAGGGACCAAAGATGGGAAGATAGCTTGGATTTTCAAACAGTAGGAAAAGTTAGAAAGAAGAAGCTGCTCCCAGTTTCAAAACAGAACACAACTCAAACCAAGCTTGCTTTTTCTTCTTTAAATGGTGAGCTCCTTGCGTGCATGCACGCACCTCAACATATATATTCTGTGTAAAATATATATTCTTAAAAGAAGCATTATTATAAGCCTGGTGACACTTGTATGACCTTTCTCTTACAGAGAACCAGTGCAATTTTAAATATCAACACAATATTGATTAAGGATTCATGGATTCACAGTCAATTCTGGCCAATTCTATCTTTGATGGTCTTCTGGACTAGGGCACAGTGAGGAGAAATGGATGGATTCCACTATTACAAAATAAACAGAAGCAAAGTGTCGCTTTCTAACATAAAAACTGACAAGGCTAGATGACCAGAGGCGTGTAATTTGAGTTTGCTTAGTCACTGAAAGTACTTCCGGTTTCCTTATAAAAATAATTTGACATTTGGTTTCCTTATAATATAATTTGATTCCACTTTCTTTCTTCTAAGCTTCCATTTATGCAAACTTCTTGTGCTGGAAGACTTTTTTTGAAGTCTAAAAAGGATGCAAAATATCAGAATCTGTCCTCCCCTTCCTACCAAGAGCAAAGGGCTAGAAACTGAGACCAAATCTCAAATCCTGTCTAAGTGTCTCATGGACACTTAGAACTTAATTAGTCACCCCCCACACATGCCAAATGGGCACAGTGGTGTTAACTTCAGTAGATCTTTTTAACATTATAAATAAGAAGGGGTACTCTAAGCATTAATTTCACATCATACCCTATTCCAGAATTAATTTATAGTCTTTTACATAAATACAGCATGACCAACACTTAAAATTCAGTGAGAAAAAGGAGAGAAAGGGAAAATAGAGACAGGGAAATAAAGACAGAATCAGGAGTGAGATTAGCACATAAAATTCATTCCATGGGCCGGGCGCTGTGGCTCACGCCTGTAATCCTAGCTCTTGGGAGGCCGAGGCGGGCGGATTGCTCAAGGTCAGGAGTTCAAAACCAGCCTGAGCGAGACCCCGTCTCTACTATAAATAGAAATAAATTAATTGGCCAACTGATATATATATATAAAAAATTAGCCGGGCATGGTGGCACATGCCTGTAGTCCCAGCTACCTGGGAGGCTGAGGCAGAAGGATCACTCGAGCCCAGGAGTTTGAGGTTGCTGTGAGCTAGGCTGATGCCACGGCACTCACTCTAGCCCGGGCAACAAAGCGAGACTCTGTCTCAAAAAAAAAAAAAAAAAAAAAAAAAAAAAAAAAAAAAAAAAAAATTCATTCCATGAAATCCCATATACAGGCCTGAACTCTAAGTTTCCTGCAGTCAATGCAAAGAGGAAAATAAAATTGCTTAGGTGATTCAGTACCTTACTTCCTAAAAATTAAAAAAATAATCAGAATATTAACTCAACCTTTGATCGATGTGACTTCCTGATAAAGTCTCTAAGTTATTTAAAACACACACACACAAATTTAAAAAAAAACACTAAAAAAGACATTTTGCAATTATTGGCTATAAATCAGGAAAAAATTGAAGGCTGACTGCTAGATCTTAGGCTCTTGAAAAGTTCTACAGTGAACAAGACCAGATTTCCATTAAAGTCATCTCTTGGGCCAGGCGCCATGGCTCACGCCTGTAATCCTAGCACTCTGGGAGGTCCGAGGCAGACGACTGCTCTAGGTCAGGAGTTCAAAACCAGCCTGAGCAAGAGCGAGACCCGAGACCCCGTCTCTACTAAAAATAGAAAGAAATTAATTGGCCAACTAAATATATAGAAAAAATTAGCCAGGCATGGTGCCGCATATGCCTGTAGTCCCAACTACTCGGGAGGCTGAGGCAGTAGGATTGCTTGAGCCCAGGAGTCTGAAGTTGCTGTGAGCTAGGCTGATGCCATGGCACTCACTCTAGCCTGGGCAACAAAGTGAGACTCTGTCTCAAAACAAAACAAAACAAAAACGTCATCTCTAGTTTCTAATACCAAAATTATCCATACTATAGATAGGAAAGTTTTCAGTTTTCTATAGCTAAACGTTAAAAAAGGACACTCCAAGCATATTTCCACCCATAGTTAACCCCAAATCTGTAAACCTTTCAACCTTTCCAGGGATCCACCCACTGGACATCCTTAACCCTCATTTCAAGTGTCTTAGAGGTACCGTTCTAATTCTATTGATGCTATGACAGGCCACTGATGTCCGGAAAAGCATTAAGGTTATATGCCCTGGGAGATCTGTTTTCATGAAAGTGTGGAAGTCTGAGTTAACTATCATCTGTTCGAACACAGCAAAGGGAAGCACAGGGCCACTGCCGAGTCCTTAACAGGTACAAAGGAAGTGATACTAAGGGTTCTCGGAGGGGCTTCTGAGACTTTTAAACTCCTGAATGCTTCCTACCAAAGCTGGCACTCTTAGGACTGGATGATTTTTTCATCTAGATGCAAAAGGCATTAACCATAAATGAAGAGACTGATAAATCAGACTTCATAAAAATAAGAGCTTTTGTTATCCAAAGACACTAACTAAGACAGCAAAACGCAAGCCAGACTAGAAAAATATATTTGCGATATATATTTTTAATAAAGGGCTTGTATCCAATATAAATGGAAGGATGTGTACAAATCAATAAGAATAAGGCATAATGCCCAATTTTTAAAAAAAGACATAAAAAGTATATCCAAATGGTCAATATTCCTATGAAAAGGTGCTCAACATCATTAATCAGCAGAGAAATGCAAATGAAAACCATATCAAGATGCTACTACATCCACTAAAATGGATAAAATTGAAAAGAATGTGGAATAATTGGAACTTACACACTTGCTAGTGAGGATGTAAACTGTTACAATCACTTTGGAAGACTGACTACCTGGCAACAGCTAATGAATATGATCTCCTATGATCTGGCAATTCTGCTTACAGGCAGAAACACACACACATATGCATCAAAACTCATACCCGCAAATGTTCATAGCAGCATTGTTTGAGATAGGCTCAAACTAGAAAAACCAAAATGTCCACCAACAACAGCAAAAGTATGCAAAAGTCACAGTACATTATATAGTGGAATCCTACACTGAAATGAAAAAAAACCCAATTACAACTGTGGTAACAAGGTTGGATCTCACAGACAAGATGTTGAGCAAAAGAAGCCAGACACAGAATACATACAATATGACTCCATCTATTTATAAAGGTGAAATGCAGGCAACACCAACCTATGGTGACAGAAGAAAGAATAGTGGTCACTTTTTGGAAAAAATGACGGAGTGGGGGAACCTGGTGAGGTTTCTAGGGTGCCACTAATGTTCTACTTCTTGATCTGGGGGTGGTTACGTGGGAGGGTTCTCTTTTGTAAAGCCCCACTGAGGCGTACATCTATAAGACTTGTGCACTTACTTTTCTGTATGACTGTTACCTTTCTGTAAGTGCTTACTTAAATAAGGAACTTGGTAAGGCAAGACTCTAGGTCTGAGACCTCATCCACTGTCCCCACCTGGAAAGGCGTCACAGCTGGGGAAGTACACTCTGAACTTCTTGGAGGCTGCCTGAGAATCTGCTTTTCAAAGGCTGCTCCAGCGCCACAGTGCAGAAGGGAATGGTTCCTGGGAAGAACTGTTACCTACTAGCTTTTATTTTCCGAGGTCATTTTCCAGAAACTACAGCAGGCAGGGAAGAGAAGAGAACCAGAAAGGGCAGAGCTCGCAGAGAAAGAAAGCCACTGGAGAGTTGGAAGAGGTCATGAGACCCCACTTTCTGCCTTCAGGCCAAACCCATTTACAGTTTCCCAGACAAGGAGAACAGGTATTTTGTAATAACTAAAGAGATGGAGGTGATTTTCTATCTCAGTAATTCTAATTTGATATATCAGGTTATAACTGATAAGAGTCATTAATAGGCTAATCTTGTCAATGATATATCTCGAAAGGCTAGTCATGTTGCTTCTGAATTATTTTTTCTTTGATCTGGTAGCTCTTATACGGTAAAATATATAATAGAATGGACTATTTGGTGAAGTTCCAATTTGCAGAAGTAGCAAATTTCTTATCTTGAATTTCTGAGTGGGGTGTGCTACCATATGAAAAGATCCTTACTTTGAAGCCAGCATCACATTTACATAACTCACAATGTATTTTGAGTTTAAATATTATTTATTCTATTTGACAACAGTGATTTTAAAACATCTTTCGTTCTGACAGTAGTCCAGACATCCTCCTGCCGTTCTCATCAGTTACCCTACACCACGGTCATCAAAGCCTCAGGTATCAAGGGCTGGTCACATCCCTTGGGAACAACTCTGCCACATATCCTAGCAGATAAGTCCTCTGTAGAAAAGCAAACCCAGCAATGATAGTTAAACTATAGAGCCCTTCAAGTAGGAAGAGCAGTTAATGGACAAAAGACACACAACACGGTGGCTACTTGTGGAAATGATCCATCCAGATTATAAATGGTATGATGGCTAATTTTTGTATAAGCTTGGCTAGGCCATGGTATCCAGTTTTTGATCAACTACAGTCTAAATGTTACTGTGAAGGTATTTTTTAAAGATGTGATTAACATTTTAATTACTAGACGTTGAGTAGAGCAGATTTCCCCCCACAGTGTGGGTGGGCCTCAAGCCCATCAGCCGAAGGCCTTAAGAAAAAAGACTAAGGTCTCCCGTCTACTCCCCACCCCTGCAATGCAGAAGAAATTCCACCTCCAGGCTGTCTTCAGACTCAAGAAATCAGCTCTTACCTGGGTTTCCTGCCTATGGATTTCAGACTTGCCAGACCCACAATCACAAGAGTGAGCCAATGCCTTCAAACAAATTTCTTTCTATATATAAACACATCCTATTGATTCTGTTTCTCTGGGCAATGCAGACTAATACAAATGGCTTAACATATAGTTGTTTCCAGTGCAAAAGAAACTCTAGAATACCAGACGTCTATTATATTTTTGCATCAGAAAAATAAACTAGATGCTATGGGACAACTGAGTTCAACACTCCTGCTTGATATTATTCCCTGCCAAAGTGAACTGTGGGGTGCATTAATAGTCTAGTACCCATAATTTATGTATCTCTCACTAAATATCACTATGATCATGATCCCAGGGAAAATCTGGCAAACCGAATGGTCATGTGAACAAATTTGAACTTCCTCCTCCTTACATCTAATATCCTCTCTACATCTTCTACCTCTTTACATCTTCAACCCAAAGGTTCTCCAAAAGTTCCCCTTTCAGAAACAATTCCCCCAAAGTGACAGTTTAGTTCATTCTAGCTAGATGGGCTCTCTATCTCTAAACTATTACAAGGCTGACATTTCTTCAATGGAACCTGCCATTAACAATCAGACACCTGCTTCAGGATAAAGATTGGGCAAAAGTTCAAGCAATGTCTTTGTGCCAAAAAACATAGCTTCTCTACTCGGTTTGATTTCAAAAAGAGGTAAGAGTTCATTAGAATTCACTGGAACTGAACAGAAGGTGAGAGCATGAAGGAAAAGATTGCTGTAAGCAAAAGGAACCCAAGGAAAGGTGAGGGGTAGGAATCACAAAGAAGGTTCCTATGGTGTGCTCCAAAAGCGCTCTGGCTCTTGCCCAAGTGAAGACTAGAAAGTTTATGTGTTTATATAAGAAGGAGCCAATGTACTAAGCATAATGGAAACAAAGCAAAACAGGTTTTGCCACTGTTTTTAAACACCAGTATTTAAGAGAATTTAGAGTGAGCACAAAGCTTATTAGTCTGACTTACCTTGAAGTAGTCGCTCCTCCAATCAACAATGGGATCTTTATAGCTAACCTCTCCATTTCCTTGGCGACAAAAATCATTTCATCCAGGGAAGGAGTGATGAGTCCTGACAGGCCAATTATATCTAGTATTTTTGAGAAAGAAAAAAAAGGGCAGTGAGAAGGAGGATGAGAGAGAGAGGAAAAGGATGAAGACTCATTTTTAAAATTTTGTAATAAAGATCAAAAGACCTAATATGAATTCCCAAATTCTAATTCCAAGACATTCTTTCTGACTAGGGGATTTCAATTTATTGTTTGCTTTTGGTAGTAAATAAGATTTAGAACTTAAAGTTATCATAAAGCACTTGCCATGGTCTTAGAAAGCCATGCAACAGAAGTTATCTTTGGCGCCAAGGGCCCAAATGTTCTGATATCACCTAACCCCAGTGAGATTGGCCTTTATCAAAAAACCCCAAAACAACAAATGCTGGTGAGGATATGGAGAGACAGGAACACTCTTACACTGTTGGTGGGACTGCAAATTAGTGCAACCTCTCTGGAAAAGAATTTGGAGATACCTCAAAGAGCTAAAAATAGAAATATCATTTGATCCAGCAATAGCACTATTAGGCACCTACCCCAAAAGAGCAAAAGACATTCTGCAATAAAGACATCTGTACCCGAATGTTTATGGCAGCACAATTCACTATTGCAAGGATGTGGAAACAACCCAAGTGCCTGTCAATTCATGAGTGGATTATTAAAATTTGGTATGTGTATACAATGGAATATTACTCAATTATAAGAAACGACAGTGATCTAGCACTTCTTATATTTTCCTGGATTGAGCTTGAGCCCATTATCCGAAGTGAGGTGACACAAGATCGGAAGAATGGGCTCCATTTGTACTCACCATCAAATTGGTACTGTATGATTAACACTATGGTGCTCACATGGTAGTAATGTTCTCCAGGGATTAGGGGGTTGGGAGGGTAAACTCACAACTTAAGGACACGGTGAGCATTGTAGAGGGGAAGGGCATGCCTCTAACCCTTGCTAGGGAAAGGCAAAGATATAAAACATAGCCAAAATGTTTGGACCCTATCTACTTTCACTTCCTTATAGGAAAAAAAAATGTTTGTACCCTCATAATACCCTGAAATTAAAAAAAGATTAAAAAGAAAGAAGTTATCTTTAGTTCGTGATTTCCCAGACTCAAACATGTCAGTGTTGGAAGAAACATAAAAACGACTCCACACAGAAAAAAATTCGAATACAATTGTCCTCTTCTAAGAAGCCCGACCCCATTCCCCAGCTCCAGAGCTCCAAAGGAGTTCCATGGTTTTATTCACCTCTCTCATCCCTATTATAAACGCCAACAAAAGCGGCCCCACGCAGGAGCTGGCACCTGCTTGTCTGAAGGTCCCGCAGACCCCACGTGGGCTGGGGCGCTGCTATTCACTGACAGACACTGTGGGAAACGACATTTACGCAAGTGCCCAAAGTGCAGCTGCACAGTACCTGCTTTGTGGTCAATAGCGGCTTGCAGTATCTTATCGCAGGGGGTCATGACTCCTAAATCAATAACTCTGGGGCACAGAAATGAGATGTGAGACAATTAATGAAAACTCATTAGAGACAAAGCCGAAATGAACATTGTTAGGTAAACTGGAATCACACTGAATTGCTCACTATCAACAATTACTACCACTACAATCACCATTTATTAGGTACTTACTAATAGGCCAGGCACTATGTTAAGTTTTACTTTACTAAGACATAATTCATATACTATCCAATTCACCCATTTAAAGTATACAATTCAATGGCTTGTGGTATATTGTTATTTTTTTAAACTATGGTAAAATATGTCTATTATTTCCCATTTTAACCATTTCTAATTAAGCCAATTCAGTGGCTTAATTATAATTTCATCATTGTGCAACCATTACCACTATTTATGTCCCAAATTATTTTACCACCCCAAACAGAAACACTATGACCATTTAGCAGTAACTTCCCCTTCTTCCCTCCCACCCCCCTATGCCAACCCCTAGTAACCTCTACTCTACTTTCTGACCATATGAATTGACCTAATCTAGATATTTCGTATGCCTGGAACCATCTGGGATTTGCCCTTTTGGCTTATTTCACTTAGCACAATTCTTCAAGGTTCAATCACATTTTAGTGTTTGTCAGAATTTCAGTCTTTTTAAAGGCTGCATAATATTCCATTGCATGGATATAGCACATTTTGTTTATTGATGCATCTGTCCATAGACACAGTGCTAAGCTTTTTGCATAGTAATCTCAGTGCACCCTCAGAGTCACTCTGGGGTGGAAGCGCTACCCTGGGTCCCATCTGAATGAGGAAAGGCCCAGAGAAGTTAAGCAACTTGTCCAGCCACACAACTAAGTAGCAGCAGAGTTGGGATCTGATTCAGGACACCGAAATCCATTATCTGCTCTATTTAGGACAATAAAAAATGCTGAGATAGTTTCCTCAAAAACTACCTGTTGAACTTGGAAGCCAATGAGGAGGATGATCAGGAAGAGGTCAGGTCCGGAGCAAGACTCAAAGGACAGGCTGACTCTGGGAGGGCACGCACAAGAGGGAGGACACAAGTTGGGGCACACTCTCAGACAACAGAATAATGCCAGAGGAACTTCAGTTCCTGGAGTCGAGCTTCCTAGAACTCAGAGGAAACAGGATGTCTAACCGGGAAAATGTTCTGTGTACTACTCCTCTTCTATAACATTTTGGAGAGTACCCCTAATGTCAGTCATTTTTACGATTTAATTCTATCAAGAGTATTTGTTAAAAGATATTTAGAAACTTACAGCTTGCATTTTTCACTTATTTCATTATGTCAGCAATTCTTAAAATAGGCAAAAATGTTTAAATAAATTTTAAAAAAGAATGCTTAAAAAGGACTACATGACATAATGTCAGCTGGTGACAGTGGGTGCTGGACCCTGGGGCAGGAAGGAGAATTGCTTCTCACTCTATGACCATTTACACTGTTTGGGTTTTTAGGCTGTTCTCATATAACTTTTAAAAGGGAGTTTGTGTTTTTTCTAAAAAGTAAATTAGCACATACGGAATGTTCAGTAAAAAGTACGACAATTTCCAATCAATGACAATCACAGTCAGCTTGTTAGCTAACTAACCTGGAACGCTAGAGGGGTTGATGACATAACCATGCAAGTTATAAGAGTGAGGTGGCACCACACACTTTTTTTAAAAAAAAACAAACATACTGAAGAAAGTCTAGTAACTGGATCTTTTGTTAAACAATGACTAAGCATAGGCTGTTGTATATAAAACTAGGGGAAATTGCATATTGTTTTTAAATTAAGAAAAAAGGCATGTATTTCAAAGCTGATGTTTTCAATGTTGTATATATTTTTAAAATTCAGTTACATATCATCACTACAATGGCAAGAATCATCTTGTTCTCACTGCTTTTTCTTGTTTTCAGTGGTGTTTCCTTCAGGAACGTCTTAAATGCAAGCTTGCCTTATTTAAGGAAGAGCAAGGAGGTCGTTGTGGCTCGAACAGAAATGGGGAAGGAGAAAGGTGCAGGTAGATGAGCTAGGAGAAGGCCAGAACCTGCAGACTGCACATAACATCGTCAGAGGACCTTTTCCCTAAATCAAACAAACTGAAGCTTGCACTCCACTCCCCAGAGACTGCGATTTATTTGGCATGGGGTGGGGCTCTGGCAGCTCCCAGGTCACACCCACTGATGGAGGGCCTTGCAGACCACTGGTGGGGGGTGGGATCTGGGTTTCACTGAGAGTGAAAAAGAGAAGTCACTGGAGGATTTGAACAGCAGAGTAAGAAATCTGACTTAGATTTAACAGTTTCACTCTGGCCTGGAAGAAGCCCAGGGTAGAAGCAGAGACTCGTTAGGCTTCTGCAAAATCCAGGCAACATATGATAACGGTTTGGCTCCACGTGGAAGCAGCGTAGGCAGCGAGAGGTGGTCAGATCCTGGAAATACTGTGAAAGTAGAACTGGTGGATTACAAGTGGGTTAGGAGAAAAGAGATGAGTCAAGATGACTCAAGGGTTTTGGTCTGAGCAGCAAGAAAAATGAAGTTTCCATTTATTGAAACAGGGACAGTATTCACAAGACGGTGGCAACTAGTTCAATTTTCAAAATATTAAGTTTGAGGTTTCTTTAACTAACCAAATGGAGCTCTCAGGTTGTCAACTGGATATATAAGTCTGGAATTTAGGGGAGAGATCCACACTGGATATAAAATTTGGGACCTGTTAGTATGATGTTTAGTAGATGATACTAAAGTCATGAAATGGGATGAGATGACTTAAGCCTGTCCCAGGCCTAGTTACCTGAGGTGTACGCAGCACCAGCACTACCTGACTTGCGGTGCAGAACCGCAAGTCCAGACCTACCTTATCAAATCTAACTTTTAACAAGGTCCCCTGGTGATGAGAAGGCATGCTAAAGTTTGAGAAGCTCTAATCTAGACACCTAGACGGTGAGGAGACACAGAAGAGGTCCAAGGGCTGACGCTGGAGCATTCCTGTGTTTAGGGATCGTTCAGGGGAGAAATGAGCAGAAGAGTGACAACCACTGGTCAGGGAGGTAAGAAGAGCACTGAGAATAGTGAGCCAGGGGCCTGGGAGACAAGTTCAACCTCCAACTTATTAGCCTGCCTTCAAAGACATCTTGTTGGGGTTTCCCCAACAAATATGCTATTAATTAGAGGAGCACTTCTTAACTTTTTTTCGCACTTAGAAAATGATATTCACAGTGCTGGGATACACAAAGGAGGGTGCTCACAGCCTTGGCGAGCAATCTTAGAACTGAGGCCCCGGCTCTACCCTTGAGCAGGAAAGAGGATGAGTTTCTAGGCACATCTGAGTTGAGAAAGTGTTAGAACCCTGAATTAGAATATAGTGTGACAAGTGCTACAATGGAAGCATTTATTACAGCATGTTATGGAAGGCCTAAACTGAATGACAGTTAGAGGCATCCCAGGGGCAATGTCTGAGATGAATTTTAGAAATCAAAGTAGGTATTAGCTAGATGAAGGAAACAGTGGGAAGTCTAGGTAGAGATCAACACCATGAAGGTCCAGAATAATGAATTGTCTAGAAGACCCTGGGGAACCTGGGGCCTGGGGACAAGGGCTTGGGTGAGCTCTAACCCTGCCTTCTGTGCCTGCCACCATTCTTCCCATCCCCCTCTCCATTCCCTCTCACCTCCGCCACACCAGACCCCACCTTCCTTCACTCTCCCCTGGTTTCCCTTCATCCCTTCACGCCCAAGTCTGTAAGCCTCTCCCTAGACGCACTCTTATATTTTGCCACATGAGAGACTAAAGAGAATAAAAATGAAAGGTATGGAAAATGTTGATTTTATCATCTTCTTTCTCAAGAGCTTAGAACAGAGCCATAATTGTGAGCATTTAATTTAGGCTGCTAATTCAGAAAAAAAAAAAAATGTAAGCTGCACTAAATGCTTTAGCAAAGGCATCTACTACTATTTAAGAATACATGGCCGGGCGCGGTGGCTCACGCCTGTAATCCTAGCACTTTGGGAGGCCGAGGCGGGCGGATTGCTCAAGGTCAGGAGTTCGAAACCAGCCTGAGCGAGACCCCGTCTCTACCAAAAATAGAAAGAAATTAATTGACCAACTAAAAATATATATATATAAAAAAATTAGCTGGGCATGGTGGCGCATGCCTGTAGTCCCAGCTACTCGGGAGGCTGAGGCAGTAGGATCGCTGAGCCCCGGAGATTGAGGTTGCTGTGAGCTAGGCTGACGCCACGGCACTCACTCTAGCCTGGGCAACAAAGTGAGACTCTGTCTCAAAAAAAAAAAAAAAAAAGAATACATAAAATTTGGAAAATAAATATTGTAATATGATACAAAAAGTCCTTTTCATCTACAGAAGATATTAACAAGGAAAATAAAACTGTGCACCTGCATCCCGTTAAGGTGCCTGACATTTGCCGTCACTTCACCCTTTGTTTCTCAGCTAAGGTGGCAGCCTGTCTGCTGCTCCTGCAATTCACACGTGCCACCACTAGATGGAAGTACCCCACCAGTCTGCGGTACCAGTCACCATTTCCAACCTGTACTAAGTAGTGCTCATGGGGTCTGTTGCCACTTCTACTTTTTAAAAAAATAAAACAGATTCTTGAAAGTCTTCCCTCCAAAATATAATGGGCCAAAAGCCTCTAAACAATTATCAGTGAGCCTTTGAGGTGCTAAGGAGAGACTGGATTAGTGTGCCCTTGTCTTAGACACATTTTCCTCACTCAGGTGAACACTCCATTACAGTTTCAAATTGTTTCCATGCTCAGCCACATAATGCTTCCTTCTCACTCATACCAGAGTTATACTAAGAACCACCAGTTAAAATAGAAATATGCCTCATTATCTTTTTCACTATATCCATATTTTTTTTTTTTTTTTTTTTGAGACAGAGTCTCGCTTAATTGCCCAGGCTAGAGTGAGTGCCGTGGCGTCAGCCTAGCTCACAGCAACCTCAAACTCCTGGGCTCAAGCAATCCTCCTGCCTCAGCCTCCCGAGTAGCTGGGACTACAGG